GAGAAATTAGAGCTCAAATGGGTAAAGGCTGGTATCATATCCTGGAACGACCACTTAATGAAATAGTTCTTTTAATTAAATAAGACCTCTGCTCCGTACTCGATTCATCTCCAGTTGAGAGGTGCAGAAAGATGTACATGTGCACGATTCAGTGTTAAACACAATACGTTTTATGAACGTGTAGGAAAATTGTGAGATGGAGATCTGTGCGTTTAGCTATGGGCAGCCTCCCGTCACTTTGTGTGACACGGCCAGAGGGGACCCTGTCTGCCATAAGGCTGAATAGACCCATGGAGTCATGCAGTGTCCATCCTTCAGCAAGGGACAAGACAAAGAGAGACAGAGGACAGTCTAATGTGCTTGGTGACAACACAACGCAGAACTACAGGACTGTCACAGAACATCATCTACCATCCCGCCTCTAAGTCAATTAAACTTGATCCTAATTGTTCATGATTTAAATCCAATACCCCCATTACTCGAAATGCCTTTATCTGTGTAAGCAGGTAGTAATTAGGAAGTCCTTGTTTTAAAGATTGCGTCATGTATTATTCATGAACTTGCTAGCCGTATAGACAGTCCGTATAAACTGTGAGACACAAGATGAATCTGCACCTTTATTGTACTGGGCATTGAAATTAAAATCACCAGTGTACTTCATCAATTCTCCTAATGTGCTGTGAAATCTGTTCTGCTCTGCTTGTCCGAAAAGAGCTAGTAGTCAATACAAATTTTGGTAACACTTTATAATAGTTCCGTAGTTAACAGGTAAATATGCAAGAAGTAAGCAGCAACAAAGGAGTAGTGCTTCATTAACACCTAATTTGGTACTATTAACTACTAAGGAATTATGCTTAATTACTCAATAGGTAATAGTGAACTAATTATTATAGTAGTTCGCTATTACTTCATTAGGAACTATTGAGTATTGCTGGTCTCATTGGGAATTATGTACTGTACTAACTATGGATTATTTCTAATAACTACTAGTTCATTAGTCATCAAATGAACAGTGCTTTTTTTTGGACTAACAGGAACTTACAGGCTACTGTTCTCAGTGGTTTTTCCCATTTTTTTCTTTTGGAATAACAGGCTTGTTTCTTCCTACTTGTTTGTATGACATACAACTTATTCTACAAAATGTTACTGCCTAAAATATGTATACAGTACCTACATTTTAATTATTTAAGTTACCTGTTAACTACGGAACAGTATTATAAAGTATTACCCAAATTTTAATAGGTTCTTAAAGCGGGGCAGCAACGTACTAATAATGTAGTAAAAACTCCTTAATGGTCGCAAAGGTGTGATGATTTTGCATAAATGAAATGCAGAATTTTGCGTTTTAGGTGCTTCTTACCTACTGCGTACAAACACATACATCAAGTATTCAGTCAAAAGTCATTACCACTGACAGTCTGATCTTCCTGTACATTTTCAGAATATTTGTTGTGTGTTTATTCATGTAGGAAATAACTTTCAATGCCAGTTCTTCAGAGCAGGGATTACAACTGCTCTCTACACAATTATACCCAACAAGAATGAAAAATGCTGTGTGACTGGTGCACTTTCCAATAAACTGGACTGCACTGTAACCTGCAGCATCGCTCTCAATGAAACTGCACTGTTTTACGAGTTGCAGTTTGGATCCATATAGTCTTTGTGTCTTTAAGTGAATGTCAATTTCATGGTTTCTTTACTGGTTGGACTGCCAAGACTAAGCAGAGTGACAGTTCTGGATTTGGTGAAAATTCTGGACTCATTTGATTGAAAAGACAGTGACACTGTGTAATCAAGGGAGAAAGAAAATTGTCGAACACATAGATGAAAAAATTATAGACATACTGTATGTATAGCCTACACATCCGTTGATAAGTGTGTATACTTGAAGCCTGAGTAATTCAAATTGAAGCTTTTTCCCATTTATTTAACAATGTTGCTACTATGTGATTTTCGAATCCATTCAAAATGAAATTCAAATACCTACATTAATTGGCTCTGTGCATAATTGCATGGCGTCCACTCATATAACTGCATGTACGGGGTCTACAGATAAATATGCAAAAACCACACAGCGTACCTAGTTGTTTTAGTTTTTAAATTGTAAGGGAGTGTTTAAAATCGACACAGTCGAAAATAAACGCGACGCTGCGGTACCGTATACACTTGTAGCGATTACCTGCAAAACGTTGCAGACCAGCGAAGCGGCACTATAGGCAATGAACTGCGGTTTGTAAATGAGGACAGGCTTGAGGGGACATCGCGTTTTCAGATCTGTCAGCTTTGCTTGGGGGTTCTCACTTGAATAAGTTTGTCTCATGAATTGGCCTTTGTGAAACATGAATATTTAAATTAAAACTGGGGTTCTGTATAGCGATCTTGTTATATCCTGCACGGGGTTCCTCCACAAAAACATACGTCCGTGAGGTTAACCGTCTTGGGTTCAGGTGAGTTGCTGCTTGGTAGAGGTGTTTCATGCATGGCTCCTTCAAACGCACCCCATTCATGCATGCAATTTACGAGTTTCATCGCACCAGTTTATTAGGCTAGTTTGTGAGACTGGCCAACAACACCAAGGTAACAAGCTTTCTGCACAAGAAGTGTAAATATTGACAAGCATCCCAGTTTTATGAATATATATATACATACATATATATATATACACACATACATATATATATATATATATATATATATATA